GCAAGCTCCTCGAAAGGAAAGGGGTGGGTAGGACGGGGCCCCTTGGCATGGTGACCCCGCACTCTGCCCGCAGCCAAAAGAGATGTGTTTAGACACAAGGGTTCAGGATTGGGGTGCCTGTGTTGAAAAAAGTTATTCCACCCCAAAAAGGACATACTCCAAGTGAGGAACTGAAAAAGGAGGAATGTTCACCTTGGGGTAGAAAAGGGAGCAATAAAGTTTATAGGAAAAGAGAAGTTTAAAGTAACCTCTAATAGAACAGAAATCAATTATGAAACAGCCAACTCACAACTAGGAAAAATCCAAATCTTCCAGCAAAGAGGACAGGGAGGAGATTCAAGGGGGGTGGGGGGCAGAGGTGAGGCTGTCAGTCTGTCCAGCCTCGTATCCTCTTGGGGACAAAAACGACAAGGAAGCCCTGGGGTGGAGGGTAGACTCAGACTGGGTCACAAATTGAAGTCCAGCGTCTGTTCTTTCACATTTGAAAGTTATACAAAAAGGTTGAAGGGAAACGTGCTATAAATCCAGCACAATCCTAATAAAATCCCACCTGATTTTTAAAGAAATTCATTAAACTTTAAAATTTATACAGAAGAAAAAAGGTCCACATTGAAACTTTGGAAAAGTCCAGTCAGCTCTGAGGAGATGTCAGTAGAGGTGATTTCCTGCTGGATCCTACTGACTGCAGACCTGCAGTAACAGCAGTCAGCGGGCAGATACAGGCTTGGGCTTGGGGATTGGCTCGGGCCAGGCAGGGTGCACACTGGGCCAACTTAGAGGACTGAAAAACCTCGGTGTGAAAATAAAATAGGAAGTTAGTAGGAAAATGTGGGAAAACCTATTTGTGAGCGCAGAGTGAAGAACTTAAAACCCAAAGTGCAGCCATCGGACAAGGGTGTGTTTTTGTTGTTGTTTTTATATATATATAATTTCAGATAGGAAGGGAGAGAGAAATAACCAATGATGAGAGAATCTGATTGGCTGCCTCCTGCATACCCGCCACTGGGGACCAAGCCCACAACCTGGGCATGTGTCCTGACCAGGAACCTCCTGGTTCATAGGTCAATGCTCAACCACTGAGCTACGCCAGCTGGGCTGATGGGGGTTTAACATAAAAATGAAAATTCCTGCCGAAACCGGTTTGGCTCAGTGGATAGAGCGTCGGCCTGCAGACTGAAAGGTCCCAGGTTCGATTCCGGTCAGGGGCATGTACCTGGGTTGTGGGCACATCCCCAGTAGGAGATGTGCAGGAGGTGGCTGATCAATGTTTCTCTCCCATCGATGTTTCTAACTCTCTATCTCTCTCCCTTCCTCTCTGTGAAAAATCAATAAAATATATTAAAAAAAAAAATGAAAATTCCTGTAGAACAGAGAGCACCTCAAAGGGGCCACAGATAACAGATAGGTATTGCGGTATTGCAGCGTTTAAATCTGGCAAGAGCCTAATATTACATGTAAAGAAGTTTCCCCAAATCAGAGAAGAGATAGGAATCTGTATAGAAATAGGTGAGGGCAAGAGAAGCCAGAGGGCCACGAGCAAAAGAAGTGCTAGCTAGACCAGAGGACCCCGCATGCACCTGGGTCGCCTGAGCTCAAATGGAAATACCCTTGGTGCCCATGCTGGGGACCAAGGCCACAGCCACGTGAAGTGCATCTCCATTAGAGAGGTACAGGACAGCTCCAGAAGGGACGCTTATGGACGGGATGGGGTGGGCGGGGGATCCAGGCTGAGAGTGCGCATGAGCACTGGGCAGCAGGGACCAACCCTCTCTGAGTTTTGAAACAACCAAAGACAAAGTGCAGGAGGCTAGTTTTAGAGATGGGGTGGGGTTGGAAAGAGCCAGTGGGGGGCACTATTGATGGTACAAAGAGGGAAAGCCCCCCACTCTGTGCCACTCCCACTGTCAGGTCCAGGGGAGGGGAGCAGATCAGGCAACCATAATTAATCATGTAGGTACAAGGTGATGTGTGCGAGGGAAGAAGGCAAGAGCATGTTGGGCGTGCTCACTGAGTCACTGAATCTAGCTGTAGCGGATGACCCTGAGGAAGGGCCAAACTGATCAGAACAGCCCTGGAGGAGGCTGACGGGGCGCAGGGAGGAGGGAAGGAAGAGGGTGAGGAGACACTGACAGAGCAGCCCGGAAAAGGCTGGGCAGAGGGCAAAAGCGCCTTCACACCAAAGGGAAGGTATTTTTTCTTAAGCTGCAGTAATTGGAAGCTTTTCATTTTAACTTCCATTAAATGTATTTCTAAATGTTACATAAATGGATATAAAAAGTTATAGTCGCCGAAGCCGGTTTGGCTCAGTGGATAGAGCATCGGCCTGCGGACTGAAAGGTCCCAGGTTCGATTCCGGTCAAGGGCATGTACCTGGGCTGCGGGCACATCCCCAGTGGGAGATGTGCAGGAGGCAGCTGATCGATGTTTCTCTCTCATCGATGTTTCTAACTCTCTATCTCTCTCCCTTCCTCTCTGTAAAAAATCAATAAAATATATTTAAAAAAAAAAAAAAGTTATAGTCAAATAAAGCTGATGTAGCAAGTCCTGGGCAGGGCTCTTCCTAGAGCTTGGGACCCAAGGAGACACCTCTGCTGGTTGTAGCTCTCTCTCTCTCTCTTTCTCTCTCTCTCTCTCTCTCTCTCTCTCTCTCTCTCTCTCTCTCTCTCTCTCTCTCTCTAACTGCAAAAGTAACACAACTTGAAAAGAGTTTCAAGCCATAAAATATTGTAGAGAGTAAAAATTGAAAACTATACCCAGATGAGTCCTCATCTAGGTGTCCCCCATGCATATGTCCCTCCAGGCTCCACTTCCTGCCCCCTGCTGCTCTTGTTGGACCAACAGCCATGCGGCCACCAGAGCCATTTTACCACCAAGAGCAGAGAGCCCCCTAGAGCTGTCCTCTTCATGGGGTGGTCCACGCCTCCCCTGCAGAAGCTCGGTGGGGTCAGCCTGAGGCCACCTCCTTCCTCACAGCCTGCCTCCCACACTTGGGCCCTGAGTCCCTCCTCAATCCAACCCTTGCACAGGATTCCACCTCAGGGTCTGTGTGCGGAAAGCTTGACCCTTGACAGACCCCCTGTGCCACTGCTCTCAGGACCAGGGCATCCCAGTTGCCATCCAGGCTCTGCTGGGCACAAGGGACAGAGCCCGGCCACAGGGATCTGACTCTCCCCTCAAGGGCTCTATGGAAGGGGTGAAGGAATCCAGCAGGACTCCAGCCTAGGCGAGGGTCTGATTCAGGGGTTTCAACAGGCAGAGGAGCGCACACAGCACAACAGCCCTTTGGCCTCCAGTTCTCCTCCATCCACACAGCCTCCAGCTCAGTCATCTGGTGGGGAAGGCTGTGAGGACGAGGGAATGGGCTCCCAGGAGACAGGCGCAGGGCCACGGGAAGGAGGGCTGGGATCCCCTCTTACAGGTGGGCCCTGACACCCAGGAAGTAGCAGAGCTGGTTCTGCAGCCTGGGTCCCCAGATGTCCCTATGGGCACAGCACCAGGTGAGGATGACAAGAGCCCACCTGTGGCCATCCAGCTGAATTCCACCCCTCCTTTGCCCTCCACACCAGCAGCTGGTGGACACTGAGCTCCCTAAGCAAATAGGGCAGAAAGCAGACGGCAGCATTTGCATGCGGGTGTGCAGGCTCTAGGAAAATGCGTTGCCTGTTTGCAGATCTGAGAGCACACCCCCTTTGCAAACAGAGGCAGGTCCTGGGTCCGGGAGCTGGGAGACCTTGCCCAGCCCCGTGCCAGGCACCTCTCCTGCCTGCCCGTTTGCTGAGTTCAGTGAGGACACCAGAGTGGCCGTCACCGCCTGCGCAGGCCTACCAGGACAAGGTCCCACCTAGTCCTCCCCGGGGACCAGCCCAGACGCACTGCCCGGACCGGGCTCTTGCTGGAAGTGGTCCATGACCTCCGAGGCCTCTTCTGGAAGAAGCCACTGCGCCAGGTGGGGACTGTTCTACATCGCATGGGCACAGGGAGGAAGGTAGGCAGATGGACTCTAGGGAGGCTGGTGAGCACCCCAACCCACCAGGGCTCCAAGGGGTGGATTCTCCGGGGAGGCTGGCACCCCAAGACCTGGCACAGGGCTAGGGGTCATGAGAAGGACCAGGTGCTCAGAGTGGCTTTGTGCAGGGCACCCCAAACCTAGGGAGCCCAGTTTTCCCACCTGTCCAATGAACCCACCACAGAACAGGTTACTCCTGGCCTTTTGCTTGGGGCATCCTCTGTTCTGTCTCTTCTGAACAGAGCACTGAGGAGACCCCCTCCCGCCTGCTCACAGCAGTAGGAACGCCCCACACCCACACTGGCTCTGGGGCATCTGGAACCTGGCAGGGTCAGGAGGTGTGGGCACCACGTCTGCCCCTCCAGCCTCAGTCTATCTGGACTGGATGAACTGCTCCCTGTCCCCTCTGGCCTCCCGTGTCGCCACCACCCACATAGCCTCCCAGCTCAGTGACCCTGGTGATGCCACTCAGGGCCACACCAGTTTTGCTGGTGTGAACCGCCAGCCCCGGCTCCACTCCAATCCCCTTCCAGGCCACAGGGCTGCTCTCACTCTTTGCCCCACTTTGCCAACCCGTCCACTGGAACCGTGGTGACTGTCCTCCCCACAAAGGGACCCAGAAAGGGGGAGGGGGAGAATGCAGACTCAGCATGACCAGGCCCAGGACCCCGAGGAGGAGCCAGGGTCCTGTCTCTGTTAAAGGGTATCGTCTGTCCCCCACAGGCGAACAGAAGGAAGAGGGGTACCCATGCTCCAAGCCCACATGCAGGGCTGAGGGGGAGGTGGGTACTCATCAGACAGACAGACAGACAAGTAGGCATTTCCCTTGCCAAGTTCTGGGGTCTTCACGTGGTCCCAGGTCAGACGGCTGGCCCTGCCTGCAGCCCCTGGGCCTGTTCTCACCTGTCAGGGGTCTGAGGGCTGTGCGGTGGTGCAGCCATGTCTTATGTGCCCCTCTTTACTCTGGCACCCACCCTGGTCCTGGCGGGTGCAGGAGTGGGATGCTGCGGAGGCGGGCCCCAGAGGAGGACAGTGCTGTCCTGATCAACATGGCCCCGGGGATGGAGAAGGGGGACTCTTACGGAAGCACAGCCAACACCTCACAGGTAACTCTCCATCACCAGGGACCTCGGGTACAGGAGGCCCAGCACAGCCCTTTGGCTCCCCGCCCTGGGCTTCAGGCCATGGTCTAAGGTGGATACTGGAGGGTCTCTGGGCCCCCAGCCCAGAATGGACACAGGGACTCTGTGGACAATGGCTTGCGCTGGCCCCAAGCCCCTGTGGTGGATGCTTCCTGGAGACGCCAAGCCCTCACTTGTTGCATGGACCTCCAGTGTCCCCAAGCTGCCTGGGAAGAGGGAGGTGTCACAGTTAGGTGCTGCCTGCCTCGCTGACCCCTGGGATGGCTAGATGAGGCCACTCAGGCGGAGGAGGGGGCAGGGTCAGATCCCATCAGCATGGAGGAGAGAGAGGGGGACACTGGGCTCCCATTCCTGGCCCTGGGGGCAGGGGGGTTACGGACACCCTGAGTGAGGCTGTTGGGAGGATTCCTGGTCCTCCTGGGCTTCGTGTCTGCCTCCAGGTGCTGCCCATCCCACCCTCACAGCTGAGAGCAGACACGGGCCCCTTCCTGCTGCCCCACAATACAGTGTCTGGGGATGGGGGACACAAGGCCTCATTCACCAGAACAGGATTCCACCCTCTGGGCACATGACCATCTATGGCCATCCACAGGCCACTTACAGGGCAGCCCAACTCCCCTCTAGCCCCTGGAGCCAGCAGGGTGGGCACCCTGGGTACTGGCATGCTGCCTGCAACCTGACCCTTGACCACAGCCCATGCCTACTGCACAGAAGCCAGTGGAGGGCAGGAAGGGTGTGGGCTGCCTCATCCTGAATGTGCCTATGGGCCCCCTGCCCATACCCAATAGTGTCTCCCTCCATTCGGCCTTCCGTGTTCCTGGGTTGTCTAGGGCAGGGTGGGGGTGTGTTCTCACTGTGAGGTGCTTTCCTTCCAGCCCGATGGACACCAGGCGGCCACTTGCAGGGTGGGGAACCCTGCCAAGCCCCAGATCGGTGAGCCCTTCCCAGTATCTGCCAGCTGTTCCTGTGTTGGTCCTGGGGGTGGGAACACAGATGGGCACCCCCAGGTGGTAGGAGAAGGACAGCAGGTCTGGGTCACCATCCTTTGTGACCAGGCTGCCCCTCCCCACCCCAGCTCTGGTGCCAATTGCTGTGCTGGGAAATGGGGTGTGGGCCCCATGGTGAGCAGAACACAGTCTAGGGCAGTGATGGCGAACCTGACACGCGTGTCAGAGGTGACACGCGAACTCATTTTTTTGGTTGATTTTTCTTTGTTAAATGGAATTTAAATATATAAAATAATATAAAATAATAATATATAAAATAATATATAATAATAATATAATAATATATCAAAAATATAAGTCTTTGTTTTACTATGGTTGCAAATATCAAAAACTTTCTATATGTGACACAGCACCAGAGTTAAGTTAGGGTTTTTCAAAATGCTGACACGCCGAGCTCAAAAGGTTCGCCATCACTGGTCTAGGGCACAGCAGGAAAGGGGGTTCCTACTGAGGGTTTGGAGCTGAGAGAGCTCTAGAGGGCAGAGTGGAGGCCCATCTCCCTCCTGCTCTGGACTCAGGACAGCTTGGAGTCACCTCAGATTCTTTTTATTTTTAATTGATTTTTAGAGAGAGGGGAAAGGAGAGGAAGAGAGAGAGATAGAGAAACATCGATGTGAGAGTGGAATATTGATCAGCTGCCTCCTGCACATCCCCAATGGGGATCAAGCCCACAACCGGGGCATGTGCCTGACCAGAAATCGAACCAGCAACATTTTGGTGCACAGGACAATGCCCAAAAAACACCAGCCAGGGCTCACCTCAGATTCTTATCTGTTGTACCTCATAGCTTTTCCACCTTCTCCTCACCCCACCCTCACTGCTCCTGTCTGCCCCAAGCCACCATCATCTCTGAGAGGACTGCACCCCACTGGGCACACCCACCTGCCCCTGCCCTCCATGCAGCAAAGATCCTTGTTAATGTGCCCTCAGCCCCCACCCACTTACAACAACGACAAAAACAGGAAATACCAAGTGTTGGTAAGGATGCAGATAAATTAGAACCCTGGCAACTGCTAGTGGGAATGTGAAATGGTGCAGCCCCTGTGGGGAACAGTATGGAGGTTTCTCAAAAAATTATGCCCTGACTGGTTTGGCTCAGTGGATGGAGCGTCGGCCTGCGGACTGAGGGGTCCCAGGTTCGATTCTGGTCAAGGGCATGTACCTTGGTTGCAGGCACATCCCCAGTGGGGGGTGTGCAGGAGGCAGCTGATCAATGTTTCTCTGTCATCGATGTTTCTGACTCCCTATCCTTCTCCCTTCCTCTCTGTAAAAAATCAATAAAATACATTTTTAAAAATTTAAACATAGAGTTACCATGTGGCCCAGCAACCCCACTTCTGGAGAGACCCAAAAGAATTAATGATGAACATTTAGGTTGTCTCCATTTGAGGGGAGTGGGAGCTATTGTGATAACTTCTTGGTGGACATTCCCGAACACGATTTTGCGTAGTCATAAGTGTTCATCTTTGAGTGGAATTGCCAGGTCGTATGGTGACTCAATGTTTAACATTTTGAAGAGCTGCCGAACTGTTTTACAAAGTGACAGCCCGTTTTACAAACCATCGGCAATGTGCAAGGCTTCCAGTTTCTCCACGTCCTGTCCAGCACTTACTGTCTGTCTTGATGACAGTCATTCCAGTGGGTGTGAAGTGGCATCTCTATGTGGCTCATGTTTGTAATTTCCTAATGACTCATGATATTGAGCATCTCTTCATAGGCTTATTGGCCATTTGTATGTCTTCTTTAGAGAAATGTCTATTCAAAATCTTTGCCCATTTTAAAATTGGGTTCCTTGCCTTCTTATAAAGTTGTAAAAGTTCTTTATGTATTCTGGATACAAGACCCTTAACAGAACACTATTTACAAGTATGTTTTTCTTCCATTCTGTGCGTTGCCTTTTTACTTTCCTGCCACTGTCCTTTGAAGCATATAGGTTGTTCATTTTGACAAAGTCCATCTTATTAATATTCTCTTTTATTGCTGTGCTTTTGATGTCGTATCTAAGAATCCAGGTCATGAGGATTTATCTCTATATTTTCTCCTGAGTCTTATTATCATTTCATTCTTTTCTAAATATATTTTTACTGATTTCAGAGAGGAAAGGAGAGGAAGAGATAGAAACATCAATGATGAGAGAGAATCATTGATTGGCTGCCTCCTGCATGCTCTACACGGGATGGAGCCCACAACCCGGGCATGTGCTCTGTCTGACTGGGAGTCAAACTGTGACCTCTTGGCTCATGGGTCAATGCTCAACCACTGAGCAATACCGGTGAGGCCAACTCTGTTCTTTTTCAATATTCTGGATCTCATGTGTTTCCACAGGAAGTTCAAACTTGTAAATTTTGGGGGGGGGGGGGAGAAATCCAGTTGTGGGTTTGATAGGAATTAAGCCTGTAAATCAGTTTGCTATCCTGGCAAGGTTGTCTTCTTCACATGCAACTCACGCACAAGGGATGCTTCACATTTATTTAACTTGTCTTCAATGTATTTCAACATTAGGTAGTTTTCAATGTATAATTCTTGCACATTTTTTAAATTTGTTCCTTTTTTGGTGCTGTTGTATATGGAATTGTTGTTGTAAATGGAATTGTTTTTCTTCATTTCATTTTTGGCTTGTTTATTACTAATATATGGAAATATAATTGATTTTTTAAAAATTTATTTTAGAGAGGAAGGGAGAGGGAGAAAGAGAAAAAAGAGCATAGATGTGAGAGAAAAACATTGATCAGTTGTCTCCCATATGCACCCTGACTGGGGATTGAACCCACAACCTGGGTATGTGTGCTGACCAGCATCATGATGCTTCAGTGCATGGACAACACTCCAAACAACTGAGCCACACTGGCCAGGGCTACAGTTGAAATTTATATGTTGATTTTGTATCTAACACCTTCTCAAACCTGTTATTAGTTCTAATAGTTTCTGTAGTGAATTCCTTTGGAATATCTATATACAAGATCATGTCCTCTGTAAATAGGTCATTTTACTTTCACATTTAACTGCTTACCCTTTGCAGTGTATTCATTCTTCTTGCTCATCTGCATTTCCATCTGAGAGTATCGTCTTTGGCCTCAAGGACTTCCTCCCGTGTTTCCTGTAGAGCAGGTGCGCTGAACTTCATTTCCCAGATTTTGATTGAGGATGTTTTCATTTAGCCTCATCTCTGAAGAACATTTCTACAGAATAAGAATTCCAGTGTTCCGTATTTTCCCCAGCACTTTAAACATGCTATTCTATCGTCCTTTGGCTTCCATGGTTTCTGTTGAGAAATTGGGTGTCCATACTCTTATTGTTCCCTGAAATATAATGGTTTGTTTTTTTCCCTCTTTCTCTGTAGTGCACAGCAAAGACACGCTGTCCATGGTTTTTCTAGCTGGAGTTTCTTTATCCTGCTTGGGGATCACTGAGATGTTTTATTCTTTGTATTGATTTTTGTGCCGTGCCAGCACGGCCATGGGTGAACCTGGGGGGCGGGGGGGGGGCGGTGGTGAAGGATTAGAAAAGACAGACAAAAGAAGAAAGCTGGGGCTGGGTGGGACGCTGCCCTCTCTGATGGAGAGACAGCGTCACGGCCTGCAAACCGAGTCTTTATTTTATAGCCAGATTCCACGAGGCAAAGTAAGGGCATGGTCAAGATGTTTACAACGTTCTCGTGGGTTTCGAATCTACTCAGTTACATGCACCTGATCAAGCTTTGTTTACTCGCTGCACTTCCACAGCCTATATCACTTAACCACCTGGGAGCCGCTCTCCACAATTTTTTTTCATCAGATTTAAAAATTCTTTTTTAAAAAAAATATATTTTATTGATTTTTTACAGAGAGGAAGGGAGAGAGATAGAGAGCTAGAAACATCGATCAGCTGCCTCCTGCACACCTCCCACCAGGGATGTGCCCACAACCAAGGTACATGCCCTTGACCGGAATCGAACCGGGACTTTTCAGTCTGCAGGCCGATGCTCTATCCACTGACCCAAACCGGTTACGGCAGATTTAAAAATTCTTGACCATTTTTCTTTAAAAAGTGCTTCTTCCTACTCTCTCTCTCTGGTTCTCAGATCATATGTGTTGGGCCCTTTAACCATGACCACATCCTCTTGTATAGAGGGGTAGGCCAGTGTCCAAGTGCTTGACTCCTACTTCCTTCCCACCCAGTACCTGGTGTCCCAGCTGGGAGACTGGCATCCCTGAGCCTGTCCTCCCTGCTTCTGTCCCTGTTGCTTCCCAGCAGACTTTGTCCTTGTTTGGGAAGAAGACCTGAGGCTGGGTCAGCATCAGGACAGTGCCACCCAGGACAAGAGAGACACACACAGGGCCTGGCGGGAGACCTTCCTGGATAACCTTCGTGTGGCTGGCCTGCATGTGGACCAGGTACAGGGGTTGGTTGCGGGCAGGGCCCTCGGCTCTGCATCCACTAGGCTTGGGGGAATGACAACAAATCAAGCCCAGAGTTGTACTAGATGGCCCTCCCCTCAGGTTAAATATCAACCCATCGTAGCACACAAGCTCACTCACAGAAGCCAGAGCCCTTCAGGTTCACCAGAAAACTCAGGAGCTATCTCCTCCATCCAATTGCCTCACCTCCAACATTAGGGCTTCTGTCTAGATGTGACATTTGTAAATACAATTCTTATGTAATTATAACTCTTGTGTGCTTAAAGGTACGCATCAGTCCTTTCACGGGTACGATGTCAGTTACAATAGTTGGTCCCACTTCAGTTGCAGGGAGTATGAGAAGCAGGAAGGAGCTGTGTGGTGCTGGTGTGCAGGGGGGGCAGGCAGGCAGTGAGTGGGGCTCGGAGCAGTGGGGACTGGGATGCAGAACTCTGGTTCCATCTCATCACTGCCCCCATCCCGGGTCCCTCTGCACGTCTCCCGCATTGTCTGACCTGCTTTCTGACCCCAAGAGCAGGCTCTGCTGTTCAGTGTGTCTTCCCCAGCCCCAGAGTATTCAATCCTGAGCTTCATGTTAATCTTGTTCTTGTGTTTCTTTACCGTGTGAGCACATTTTACGTTGCTAAACAATGCAGCTTTGTTTCTGTTTGAACTTGATAAGATGGAGTTGTGTTCCGTGTGACTCTTCCTAACGTCATGCATGTGAGACCCGCCTGCATCACTGGTGCAGCGGCTGCCAGGTCACTGCATAGAGCACCTGCAGGTGACTCCGCTGTGTTAGAGTCATTGCCTACTTGAGTCAGGGGAGCAGGGCTGCGTGGGCAGTACTCTGAGCTCAGGTCTTGGGGTGGGTTTGCTCATCACTGGGGGTATGGCTGGCATCGGCCCTAGTAGCTTGGTGTCCTCTGTCTGTCGCTGATTGCCTGATTTCCAGACAGGGGCAGGCACCCTGTGCTTGGCTTTCAGAGGCGCTGTCACTTATCAAATAGTTTTAAAACCATGGCTGGTTGGTTGTTAACATGGCTACAGAAACATCTGCCTTTTCCTAAAAGTGTGAATGGACACACACACACACACACACACACACAAGGGCACACACCTTTGTGTGCACACACACACCGACACCCACACATGTATGCACACATGCACGTGCACGCACACACACTGTGTACAAATATTCACCCACATGTGCACCCATACAAACATGCACCCATGTGTGTACACATGTACATACATGCACACTGCAAACATGTGCACACGTACACAGGGCACCCTCAGGCTCTGACAGAGCCCTGGTCCCCACAGCATCATGTACAGGATGAGGACAGCGCTGTGCACTACATCCTCCTCAGCGCCCCCTGGGCCGTGCTCTGCTACTACGCGGAAGACCTGCGCCTGAAGCTGCCCCTGCAGGTACCCGGGAGTGCATGACATGCAGAGAAGGCCTGGAGGTCCCCCCAGTCCAGGGTTACTCATGACTGCACCCCATGTGCTGGGTGCAGTGTCCATTGCTGACAACCTGAGGCTCCCCATTTTGTCCTCAAAGGTCCCTCCTAGCGGCCATCACTGTTCTCCAGGAAGCCTTATTAGGCAGACAGGTGGGGTGGTCATACCCCACAACCATGGCTGCTCTGGGGAGGTGGGGAGGTATGGGCAGTGTGTGCAGCAACCATGGCTTAGTCTAACCACCTGGGCCCTCCAGCTCCTGACCCCCACCAGGCTGCCCATTGAAGACCACTGCAGGAGGGGGAGGGGTAGCCTGAGGACACAGTGTGAAGAGGCAGCAGGTGACCTCCGGATGATGTGCCTGGGGGCTGCTCTGCCACCTACTCTGGCTCCCTTTGATCATTATGGCATTTGGTAGACAAAGGGACATGTGACCATCTGAACCTCCCTACCATGAAACCTGGGCCTCAGCTGGACCAGCTGAGCCCCCTAGCACCCAGGACCGAGACAGGAAGGGGCTTGCCCGTTCCCTGGCTGAGCCCTTTCACTGTTGCTCAGTTTGCAAATCTACACACCCCACCCCGCCACGTGGCATCGTGCTCAGGGGTGGGAGGAACAAGTGATGATCCTTTCCAGGAGCTGCCCAACCAGGCCTGCAACTGGTCGGCCAGCCTGCTGCAGTGGCTGGGCATCCCCAATGTCCTGCTGGAGGACGTGCCCGATGTGCCCCCCGAGTGTTACTCCTGCCAGTTCAAAGTGAGCAAGCTGTCGAGGTGAGAGACAGTGGCCCTGCTGTGCCCGCAGGACAGCTTCACACGGTGCCCAGGGCTGGGGGACACAGCCAGGGATGCGTGCATGAGAGGTCAACGAGTGACAGATCTAAACCTCCAGAACCTTCTCCTTTCTGGAGCTTTTTAACCAGGGAGCGTGAGTGGCAGGTGGGCAAGTTTCTGTGCACGTCCACTTCAGTCAGGACAGGCAGGTTGTGCTGCAGACAAACATTCCCCAAACCTCAGTTGCTGGCCACACGGCCCATTTCCGACTCAATGACATGTCCATGGTGGGCGGCGGGGTCTCTCAGGCCCAGGTGGCTGGAGGCCCTCCTCTCACAAACAAGGCAGAAGATGGTCGTGGTCAGTCCTCACTGGCTGCTGGTGGCACCTCTCCTGTGTGCGTGTGTCACATGGCACACCTATGTTTGGTGCTCCAATGCACATGGAAGCCACGGGCTCCCTGGTGACCCTGGGGCTTTCACACTGCCCTGCCCTCTGCCAGCCACTGTCCCGGATGGAGGATGTCTATGACTTCTGGGCAATGTTCTGTGACCTCCTGCCTCCAGGAAGGAAAAGACAAAAATGGGACTTGATCCTGCGTTGGGGGTGGAGCGTGGGGTGGGGGTGGAAAGGGGATGGTGGCTGTTCCCCAGTGTGTGAGGAGAAAGCATGAGTGTGGTCAGTGTGTGTGTGTGTGTGTGTGTGTGTGTCCCTGCCTTTGTGGACTCTTCTGCACTTTTCACCTGCCCACAGGTTCCTCAGGAGTGATGACCAGGACACCTTCTTCACCTGCACCAACAGGCACCAGATCGTGAGTGGGGGACCCCACTGCAGTCCCCACACCCTGACCCGGCTCAAAGGAGCCTGAGGTCGGGACACGGGAAAGCTCTCCTGTGATTGGAGCACTGAGGCCAGGGCTGGGGGCTGGGGGCTGGAGACTTAGGGGTGCCCCCTCATTGAACTCCGTTGGGGCCCTGCTCAGTGCCCCCATGGGAGCCCCCAGGGCTCAGGATGGATATCTGGTTATGAACTTGTGGGACAGACAGCCACGGCTACTGACCCTGGTGGATGTGGGTCCTGCTGGTCAGTGAGGAAGAGAGCCGAGGGTCAGAGTATCATGCCTGAGAAGGGTGGGCTGAGCCAGCCACTCCGGCGTCTGTGACAGGAAGAGGCTTTGGACAGGCCTGCCTAGGCCACCTTCTGCTGGCCACCAAAGGGGCAGAGCCCACGCCTGACACAGCCGTCCAACTGGAGGCTGACCCTGCCCAGAGCAAGGTCCAGGGCTGGCTGTGCACAGCCAGGACCTGGAGTCAAATCCAAGCCCAACTCCCGTGCGCCCACAATCTGGCCCAGGTCTTGTGATTGTACAGTGGAGAGTTACCGTCCCACCTCAGGGGTGTGGGGTGTATGAGCCGGGGACAGGAGGAAGATCGGGGTGCACAAAGTGTTCTCTTCATTTGTTACCAGAGGCTGTGGGAGGCTGTCCATGGGCTCAGCCCCAAGATGGGAGGGCCAGGATGTCCCTACCCTGCCATCACATGACAGGTGACCAGTGCCCTTCCCCACCCCACCATCCCCAGCTATTTGAGATCCTGGCCAAGACCCTGTACGGCCATGAGAAGAAAGGTCTGTTTGGGATCGACCAGCTGCTGTCCCAGGGCGTCTTCAAGGCGGCCTTCCCCCTGCATGAGGTGAGACCTGGGGGCTGGAGAGGCTGTGGTGGGGGTCTCAGACCCAGGCATGGGCTGAGTTCCTAGATGAGGGGGTCTTGCTGTCACCTGTTGGGTCAGCTGTAGCCAGACAGGAAGCCTGTAATGTAACCAGGCCATGCTGCTGTTCAAGGTCCTGGGCAGCCAGGCACTGCCCTCTCAGCACATGAGAGGCCCAACAGCTGCATCTTCGTAGGGGAGACAGTGAGGTCCCCTGTGCTCCCCAAATCTGGGTAAACTGAACAGGGGAGGGGCGCTCACCATCGTCCCGACAAAATGTCCACCGAGGTCTGGAGGCTGTTTATGCCCCTCACACCCGCAGCTGCCCACCGAATTCAGAGCTGCAGGAAGGGGCAGCAGGGTGGAGGGCAGGGGCAGGCCTGCAGCTGCTGTGTGAGGTACCGAGGGGCCACCTGAGGACATGCAGTGGAATGGCCAGCTCCACTTTGGCTGTGGGGCGTCCCTCTTCCCGCCTCTGGCCAGAGCACAGGACGCACAGCGCCTGGCACAGCCGGCCTCACTTGCCTGGTGCTCGGGGGGTAGCAGAGCCCCAGGCTGCAGAAGCCCACCCAGAGATGCCAATCCATCCTGGACCACAGCCGCAGCTCCTCCTGGACGCAGACCCCCGAACTCCTGGGATGCCGAGGTGCCCAGCTCAGATGCCTTTCCCGGAGAGGCCTTCCTAGATGCCCCCGGGACCCAAACATAACTCTGTCATCCTCGAGCAGCAACCCTGCGTCCAGGACACCAGGCACGTGGCCTTGCCCAGCGCTGAAGGCCTACACTTAGAATAAGGCCCGGTAGGATGCCCAGACCAGCCTGAGTCCCGCCCACTGGCTTCTCGTCCCCAGGGCCCCTTCACAACACCCCCTGAGGGCCCGTGGGCCCCTGGCCTCAACCAGCGGCAGGTCCTGTTCCAGTACTGGGCCCGCTGGCGCAAGTGGCACAAGTACCAGCCTCTGGACCACGTGCGCAGGTACTTCGGGGAGAAGGTGGCCCTCTACTTCGCCTGGCTGGGTAAGTCCCACCCACTGCCCCTTGGGGCCTCCTGGGTCCCCGACTTTAGTCTTCAGGGTAATAGTCTCCAAGAGGGGAGCGAGCACAGGGGCTGGGCTGCCAGCATGCTGATCCCTCCTTGGCCAACACAGCCACTGGCCCAGGGTGTCTTAACACCCCAGTGAGGGGCTGGGAACCCCCTCCTGCAGGTGGGCCTCCCCACTCCAGCCACCAGACCCGGCCCATGAGGCCTTGGTCATGTGGTGGGGGCTGCAGAGCTCAGGACAGAGGCTAGGACAAAGGGGCTGCCAGGGGGAACCTCTGAGGACTGTCCCCTTCATGAGTGCCTTCCAGATAGCCCCAAACCCTGCTGGTTGGAGGTGGGTCTCTGGGGGACAACTGTGTCTGTGCAGACCCCCACCCGGCACTCAGCCCAGCGCTGGGTGCACAGACCCATCATGGTTGCTGACAGCTGGCTCCTGGGGCCCCTACCTGGCTCCCCTCTGCAGGGTTCTACACAGGCTGGCTCCTGCCAGCAGCCGTGGTGGGCACGCTGGTATTCCTGGTGGGCTGTTTCATGGTGTTCTCAGACACACCCACGTAAGTGCCCTCTCCCCTCAGCTCCCAGGCCTCACCCTGTGTCTCCGGGGAGGGTGGAAGGGGAACCCCCACCTGCCAGACCCTGTGCAGAGCTGGGGATGGAGGTGAACATGAGCACCTCCCGCCTTCCTGGATGTCAGAGGGCCCATGGATCTGGCTGGAGGGATGACAGGTAGATAGGGGTGCTCCAGGACTGACCATCGGACAGGTGTGACCTCAGACTGACACAGGTGAACAGGTGTGCTCCCACACTGATACGTGTGCTCCAGACTGACACAGGTAGACAGGTGTGCCCCTAGAATGACAGGTAGACAGGTATGCTTCCAGGATGACACAGGTAGACAGGTGTGTTTCCAGAATGACACAGGTGAACAGGTGTGTTCCCACACTGATATGTGTGCTCCAGACTGACACAGGTAGACAGGTATGCTTCCAGGATGACACAGGTAGACAGGTGTGCCCCTAGAACAGCCGTGGGCAAACTACGGCCCGCGGGCCGGATCCGGCCCGTTTGAAATGAATAAAACTAAAAAAAAAAAAAAGACCGTATCCTTTTATGTAATGATGTTTACTTTGAATTTATATTAGCTCACACAAACACTCCATCCATGCTTTTGTTCCGGCCCTCCGGTCCAGTTTAAGAACCCATTGTGGCCCTCGAGTCAAAAAGTTTGCCCACCCATGCCCTAGAATGACACAGGTGGACAGGTGTGTTTCCAGGATGACACAGGTGGACAGGTGTGTTTCCAGAATGACACAGGTGGACAGGTGTGCTCCCAGACTAATTGTATTGGTACCCCTGTTTCTTGGAATAGTGTAAGCTTTTCTTTTAATAAACAAAAGACAGGGCTTGAATTTTACTTTATTATGGAGCTGAAATTTCAAAGAGTTATCTCAAAAATTATCATTGCATATATTTTAAAGAAATGCTGGGCCTGGCAAGGGCAGTGGTGGGAGGGAGAGGACAAGGGGCAGACCAGGTGGGAAGGGGTCCCCGTGCTCCAGCACCCCCTTCCACTCTGAAGGCAGGAGCTGTGCAGCAGCGCCGATAGCTTCCAGATGTGCCCACTCTGCCTCAACTGCCCCTTCTGGCTGCTCTCCAGCGCCTGCGCCCTGGTCCAGGTACGAGGAAGGGTGGGCGAAGGGAGGAAGGCAGCTCCCTGGGTCCTGGTCCTGCCCCCGCTGTGACCCCAGCTCTGTGGTGATGTCTGCACCTGGCATGGGGTTGGGACTGGTGCGCCCCTTGGCGGAGTGCCTGCACCAGTTGGTGCCCAGCGGTGGGCCCTTACTCTTATTGCTGTTATTGTCTGTAGCTGACCAAGAGGAACCAGAGGACCCCCCAAGGCAGGCATAGCTGAGCCCCCAGCTTAAGAGGTGGGGACAGGTAGCCCCTCGGAGGCCTTGGGCCCGGTGGGCCCCCACAGCAGCCCAGCACACTGGTGTGTTAGCTTTTCCTTGTGGCCTCACCTGCAGCCCCCACACACCGGGCTTGGAGCTCTTGGTGCATTGTTGGGGCCCAGACCAGACACACCTTTGACACACTCCTGGAATCCGTCTGTACCGTTTCCTGGGGCTGCTCTAACGCGTTCCTGTTCTTGAAACAACAGGAATTACTTTCCCAAAGCTCAGAGGCCAGAAGTCCAAACTCCGGGTGTTAGCAAGGCTGGCTTCCCCTGGCCTGTTCCCTGCCTTGCTCTTACTTCTGGTGGCTGCACCACCCCAACTTCTGCCTCTGTGTTCACGTGGCCTTTCCCTCTGGGCACCTGTGCCTATCCCCCTTCTCCTGTCACAAGGATTTATCACTGGGCTCAGGGGCCCCTAAACGAGGGTACTTTCATGTAGAGACCCCCACCTTAATTACACACACAAAGGCCCTTGTTCCAAATAAGCTTACCTTCCAGGTGGGGGCCACAAACCAATCCACTACAGTCCACCCTCTGGCCCCCAAAACATCAAGTTCGTGCAAAATACAGTCACTCCAGCCCAACATCCCCAAAGTTTTAAACTCAAGTCCAAAAATCTCCCAAATATCAACAGCTCAAAAATCTCACCTACATCACCTAAGTCGTTATGGGGGAGACTCGGGTGTGGCCACCCTGGGGTAACATCCCGCTATCTGCTGCCCCATGCCGGGGAACGAGTCGCCTGCTTGCACAATACGATACGCTGCTCAAGGGAGAAACTGAGGCCCAGAGGGGCCAGCAGTCGAAGCGAGTGTGAACCACGTGCCCCGCCCGCAGGCCGGCCGGCTCTTCGACCACGGCGGCACCGTCTTCTTCAGCGTGTTCATGGCCCTGTGGGCGGTGCTGCTCCTGGAGTACTGGAAACGGAAGAGCGCCATGCTGGCCTACCGCTGGGGCTGCTTCGACTACGAGGACATCGAGGTGGGTCGGTCCCCAGACCGTGGCCGCTGCCCATGAGGCCGCCACTAAGCATTGGCTTCCTTCCAGGAGAGGCCGCGGCCCCAGTTTGCCGCCTCGGCCCCCACGACAGCCCTGAACCCCATCACCGGCGAGGAGGAGCCCTACTTCCCCAAGAGGAGCCGTATGCGCCGTGTGCTGGCCGGCTCCGTGCTGGTGCTGATGATGGTGAGGGTCCTGCCATCCTCCCTCCCTTCACGCCCCTTCTCCTGAGCTGCTGGGGGCAGCTGTTGTCCCCCGTACTCCTGGGACCCGGAAGACACTCGCTGCTGCAGAAAGGCCCTCGTGTGCCTGGGCTCCAGAGAAGGGGCCCAGCTCAGGGGCCAGGGCAGGGGGTCTGGGTTGTAAGACGTGAGTGTGTGTGGGCAGGGACTCCCAGAATGTTTCCCCACGGATGTGGGCTTGGGGCATCTTTCAAGCATGGGGGGGGCGGGGGGAATCCCAGCAGTGGGTTCCTCCAGCCAAAGGGGCTCCCTAGCATGACCCTCCCTTCCCCTCCCCTTCCAAGATGGCAGGAATTCCCAAGTTTTGGCCGGTGGGAGAGCAGGGTGGGGGGCCAGATGGTTGATTCTCAGCACTTGGGACCAAGAACAACGCACAGTGGCTCCCTTGACATCCGGATATCGCCCACCTGTAATTCTAAATGGCCTTCCAGCCCCCTCCCTCCCAGCCCCCCATCCTGCCTCCCTGTCCCTCCAACAACCCACTGGAAGAAGCACGGAGCACAGCCAGGCCTATAAGTGGGGGCTGTGGCCTGAGGGCGCTGGAGTACCAGGCCTAGGTGTGGGGGCTCACGCACTTGGTCACCCATAGGTGGCAGTGGTGGTCATGTGCCTCGTGTCCATCATCCTGTACCGCGCCATCATGGCCATCCTGGTGTCCAGGTCGAACAACACCCTCCTGGCAGCCTGGGTGAGCCTCCACTGCCTGCTCCTGCGGGGGGGGGGGGGAGTGGGGGGGCGGGATGGCTCGGGACCACCCCCAGCGCCAGCTCTGATCCACCACCTGTCACCAGGCTTCTCGCATTGCCAGCCTCACAGGCTCCGTGGTGAACCTGGTCATCATCCTTGTCCTCTCCAAGATCTACGTGGCCCTGGCCCACATCCTGACAAGATGGGGTGAGTGGCCAGGCTGAGTGCTGACTCAGGACCATCCCAGCCCTGCTGCCCGAGACAGAACACACTTCCTTGCAGATCGCAGGGTCCTCCAGTCTGAATGAGGCACAGATGGGATGTGAGACCCGCCCCCAACTGTGAGCAGTACCTGAGGGTGGAGACAGGAGGGTCCTCTGGGGCACCCAGGCCTTGCCCTGCTGCTGGGGTGCCCTTACCCCACCCCCACCCCGTGCACAGGACCGTTCGAAGCTGAGCTCCCCTGGGACGGTCTGCCCAGCTCAGGCCCCCCTGTGTGCCCCTGCTCTCTCAGTGTAGGAGAGATAACTAGAGGTGGCTGCAGAGTGAACTCCTTCCTTCTCCTCTGCCCGCCCCCACTGCCTGCCTCTCCCCCCACTTTCTCTACTCTCCCATTTCCTAAAGGCAAACGCCAATGAACCAATTCATTCATTCCACACATTGTCTATTAGCAGCCCTGGTCTAGGAGTGGGACAGAGAGCTCAGTGTCCACCTGGGGGGAGCCTTCGGGTGGGCAGATGTCCCAGGGAGCCCCCACCGTGTTCCTGCAACAGCAGGGCCATGTGCATCCCGTTTCCGGCCTCAGGTGTCCCCTCCAATTCACCTTTTATGCCCCGACCTCTGTCTCAGCACCGGCTTTCCAGGCACGGTCACCCCAGCCTCAGACTGTCACTCCACTCGGCCTCTGGCTACTCTCTGTGCCCTGCCATTTCACCCTCAGCATTGCTGTGGCTTATCACCTGCCAGCTCTTCCTGCACCAACATAACGTTTTTAGATGATTTTGAAATTAGAACTTGAGGAAAGCTGCCCTTTGCCCCCTTCCTGAACGAGTGTCTGTCCAATATCTGGGCAACACGGCTTTCCTCACTCCCTGGACGGGTGAGGTGGTTACAGGGCTGGGCTGTGGGGGACTGAGTGAGCCTCTCTGCCCAGAAATGCACCGGACGCAGACCAGGTTTGAGGACGCCTTCACCCTCAAGGTGTTCATCTTCCAGTTCGTCAACTTCTATTCCTCGCCCATCTACATCGGCTTCTTCAAGGGCAGGTCAGCACGGCTTCCCCTGGCCGCACCTCACCCCGAGCCCTGCTCTTGCGCCAAACCATGTGGCCCCAGAGGCTCAGGGAGGGTGGGGATGACAGTCCAGGGTGGGGACAACAGCTGTCCTGGCTCAGGGCCTCAGAGCAAAGCTGGGCTCCAGGTCCACCTTGAGGTTCCTGCAGGTCCGGTGTGTGCAGCAAGGGAGATAGTGGGGGGAGAGGGAGGGGCAGCTGATGGCACCTCCTCACTTGCAACCTCAGGACCTCCATTTCCTCTAGGTTTGTGGGGTACCCGGGCAGCTACCACACCTTGTTTGGGGTTCGCAATGAGGAGGTAAGTGTGTAGGGACAGACACCCACAGGTCCTGCCCCCTAACCTCTATCAGAATGTTAATCTGCAGGGATTCTTTCTGCCCTCCCCCCTCACAGTTGCAACTGCCCCAGGACCCCCACAGCAGGCTCTTCATAGCATTCTCAGACCCCCACCTGGAGCAGCACCCACACAACACAATCGTGTCCTCATGTGTCACCCTTTCCCCACGCTGACCTGACTTGTGAATCAAGTCAGAGTGGGGAAAGGGTGACACTTCCACTGCCCAGAGCTCCGCTGGGAACATAGAGGCTGGTGACTCTCCCAGGGCTCGGGGCCCACTGTGGGCACCGGGGCTTGCCCTCCCCCACCCTCATAGACACTGACGAAAGCCCCTTGAGATCCCCAGGCATCTGGCTCCTCACTGGCTGAGGGCACAGCCTGGGAGGAGCTGGAACAGTGCACAGGCTGGGCCAGGGCGGCGGGGCTCCAACTGCTCCACCGAGTGCCTCACCTGGAAGACCCTCTCCTCTCTGGCCAGAAGGGCTCCCTCGTTCCCATGGGTCTGTTCTGTGACCCAACCCCACTGCCTGCAAAGTGGCCAACCCCGAGGAACAGTCTAGCTTCACATGAGAGGGAGGGGCTTTTCAGGGACTGGGCAGCTGGGACCCCAACTCAGGGGGCTTTTGGTCACCAGTGGGAAAAGTTCCCAACGCACACTGGCTTAATGAAAACAGAGTTCCTTCCCGTCAGCTCCTATAATGAAGCCGGTCAGGCCCTGTGGGCTCAGGTGGGGCTGGGTGCAGGCGTCTGAACAATGCTGCCCTACTTCCCCAGCACTGGCCTTGTGCTCGGTCAGGTTCTCCCAACCCCTGGGAGGGCCAACATCCCAACAGTACAGGCCGACGCCCTCTTGCTTGCGACCCCTGTGCAAGGTATGCTGTCTCAGGAGCCCCCCCTCAAAGCCCCCGTGCACCTCTCACTGGCTGGAATTGCTGAGGGACCTACATAGTGGGTCCTCCCTGGAGCCACAGGGCCAGCATCAGCCTCATACCATGTGGGTCTCCAAAGAAAATCTGGGTGCCTTGCAGCAGTGGCCCTGGTCATTCCCACGCACCGTCCACCAGGTGGACCTTGGGGAGACAGTGGGGGGGCTTCGGTGAGGTCTGGGGGGGGAGTCTGTGCAATCCATGGCATATCTGAAGGGGAGAGGGACATGGCAAAGGCCACCTTTCAGGGTTAGAGGAGGTTGGGTGGGGAGGAGACCCCCGCCCCTGCACTAACCTGGAGCTTGGCTGTGCAGTGTGCGGCAGGAGGCTGTCTCATCGAGCTGGCTCAGGAGCTCCTGGTCATCATGGTGGGCAAGCAAATCATCAATAATGTGCAGGAGATTCTCGTCCCGTGAGTCCCCCACTTGTCCTGGGCAGCATCCAGGGACCCTGGGACTGGGACTGTCTGGGGCAGTAGCACCAGCCCAGTCCCAACCTGGAAAAGAGGTGGAGGGAAGCCAGGTGGGCCCCTCCTGGACCTGGCTGTCTCACCTGCAGGGGAGGGGAGGGTCTGCCCTGCCATCTACCCCATGGGCTCTGTGACACCCGCAACCTGTGGTTGCTGTGTCAGCATATTGAGTTCTTTTGTCCTGGCCAGCTTTGTTGAGGGAGGAGGCCCATCCTTTCTGCAGCACCCCCAGCCAAGGCAGCACCAGAGGGGGGTCCAGGCGAGGCCCCCAGCCTCAGGTTCCCTGCCACTGAGGTCCTTTCTCCCCAATGCTACCCCCACTGGCACCACTGTGCTTCCCATCCAAGCAACTGGAATCCCTCCCAGGCAAGAGCCCTTGCAATGACTGCCCAAGGCTGGGCCCAACCTGGACATCTTGCCATCTCTCCCGCACACCCGATCTCCCACAGACAGCATGGACTCCCCTGGGCACCTCGAACTGTAGCTGTGGGACCTTAGCCAGCCCATGCCTCTCTTTGGGTGCAGTCAGTGCTGTGCAGCTGAATTCCAGGAGATCATGTGTTTGGGGTGTAGTTGGTGCCTGGAGGGGCTGGATGCGTGCTGACAACGCCACATACACCCATTCCCCTACATATGACAAAGTAACAAGCACACATGCCCCCATTGACACAGCGACGTCCTCATCTGCTCACTTCCACCTGGACATACCTCTTGGCACCTCTTTGCATGTCCCAGGAGGAACCCATCCCCCCCAAAGCTTTCATGAACAATGGGCACTGCAGGGGAGCTGGGGGAGGGGCTACCCCCAGAGGAGGCAGATGCGCTTGAGGGTTCTACAAGGCCTGGCCAGCCTGCTGTGCCGGTCCCAGGGTCCAGACCCTCTCCCTGCTGCCTTCAAACTGCAGAGCAACCAGCTGGAGGAGCAAAAGCTATTTTCCTGGGTGTTTCCACCTCCAGGAAGCTCACAGGCTGGTGGCAGAAGTTCCGGCTTCGCTCCAAGAAGAGGAAGGTGGGGGCTTCAGCTGCTGCCAGCCAGACGCCCTGGGAGGCAGACTATGAGCTCCTGCCCTGTGAGGGCCTATTTGATGAGTACCTCGAAATGGGTAGGTGCCCCTGGGGGCCTCCAGCCTCAACATTCCTCTGTCTCCCTTGAAACATGATGTGGGTGGGGACAGAGGGTCCCTAGTGGAGCCAAGCCTACAAAGGATCCCGAAAGGACTTGGGATCGCAGTGGGGAGTGCCCCAGAAAGGCAGGCTGGAGATGAGAAGGGACAGCGCCCTGGGCACAGAGGTTGCGAAGAGGACTGGGGCAGTTGATGGAGCTCTCCTGGAGTGGCCTTAATCCCCCACCCCAGTAGGCATCTGCTAGATCCTCCTGTAGGAGCTAGGAAGGAATCTGGGTGCTCAGGAGACCAGGCACTAGGGGTAGGACAACTGCCCCTGAGAGTAAGGCTGCACCTGGGAGGCGACTGGCCTCAGGTCCCCTGACCAATGGAGTCCCATATGGGAGTTGATTCCAGAAAATTTCTTGATGCCCACACTCTTTGCCAGACCCTCAACTGTGCCCTCTCCAGGTGGTGGCCCGTGCCTGTACTCACTTCCTGCATGGGATGGTGCTCTTTTGGAGGACAGGATGTTTGTCCCAGCAGCCCAAGTCTTACTCTGAGATCATGGCACACTTCAATGGAAAGTGTTGCATCTGAGTCAAACACATCACTGAGCTCCCTGGCAGCCACAGCAAATGGGGCGATAGTAGTTGCATCGGTCCCTGGACAAGAGGGAGCAGACAGTTCACGTGCATTTTCATGATAATGTGTGAGTGGGGTTGACCTTGTGTGGCCCTACGCCACTGGACAGCAGGCAATGGGACCAAGGCTCTTCTTAGTATTTTACAGAGGAGCCAGCTGCTCCGAGAGGGGTAAATGGAGAAGGCCGGCCTAAAATCTACTCCCTTTCCTGCCAGAAGCCCACAGGGGAGGAGAGAGAATCCCAGACCTCAGGGAGCCCCGGGAGGCCCATGCCCCTCGTGCAGCTCTGTGGAGCAGTTAGGGGCAGTCAGGGAGGCTTCCTGGGAGCAGGGGCCCTGGTGCTAAGCCTAGGAAATGAATCAGAGCAGAAGCTGGCGGGCGGGGACAGGGCCTGCGGTGACACCTACGCCCACAGTGCTGCAGTTCGGCTTCGTCACCATCTTCGTGGCTGCCTGTCCGCTGGCGCCGCTCTTCGCGCTGCTCAACAACTGGGTGGAGATCCGCCTGGACGCGCGCAAGTTCGTGTGCGAGCGCCGGCGCCCAGTGGCCGAGCGCGCGCAGGATGTGGGCATCTGGTTCTCCATCCTGGCTGGCATCACGCACCTGGCGGTCATCAGCAACGTGAGCGCTGGGTCGGGGGAGGTCAGGGAGGTTGTGAGGGGCGGGGCTCCCCGGGGCGGGGCTCGCCCGGGGCGGGTGGGATTGGCCCAAGCTGACGGCCCGGCGCCCAGGCCTTGCTGCTGGCCTTCTCCTCCGATTTCCTGCCGCGCACCTATTACCGTTGGACCCGCACCGGTGACCTGCGCGGCTTCGTCAACTTCACACTGGCGCGCGCCCCGCCGGCCTTCACCGCCGCGCACAACCGCACGTGCAGGTGAGGCCGCCAGGTGAGGGGCGGGCAGGTCAGGGCTGTGGACTGGCTGGAAGGGGAGTTCCCCGGGATAGGAGACCGGTCCTGAGAACGGGGCGAACAGAGAGGCGTGGCCCCCCCCCCCCCCCCCCCCCCCCCCGAGCCCTGCGCTTCCTGCCTTAAACAAGCCACGGGCTGTAGGACTCCGGGGACACGGGGAGGGGACTGTGATTGCCCATCCTCCTCATCCCCCGGGTAGGGGGTTTGGGGGGTGGTGGGGGGGGGGATCGGTTACAGCTGACACTCCAACAACCCCGGGTTGAATTTTTGGAAAATCTGAGCATATGACCCCCACAGTTGAAGCTCGTGTTGTTCAAGGGTCAACTTATAGTTCCCTTAAAAAATATATATATATATATTAGAGGCCCGGTGCACAAAAATTTGTGCACTCCGGGGGGGGGGGGTCCCCTCAGCCCGGCCTGTGCCCTCTCGCAGTCTGGGACCCCTCGGGAGATAACGACCTGCTGGCTTAGGCCTGCTCCCGGGTGGCAGAGGGCAGGCCCAATCCCTAGGTGCAGCCCCTGGTCGGGCTCAGAGCAGGGCTGATTGGGAGGTTGTGATGCCACCCTCAGTCACGCTCAGGGTAGGGCCAATTGGGGGGTTGGGGCACCGCCCCCTGTCACACTCAAGGCAGGGTCGATGGGGAGGTTGCGGCGCCACCCTGTCACCCACAGAGCAGGGCCGATCAGGGGGTTGGGGCGCCGTCACTCTCACACTCAGGGCAGGGCCGATGGGGAGGTTATGGCTCTACCCCGCACACACAGAGCAGGGCCCGTGGGGGGGCGGGTTGGGGAGCTCCCCCCTATCAGGCACAGAGCAGGGCTGCTCAGGGGGTTGTGGCCCTGCCCCCTGTCACACACAGAGCCGCAGGGCGATCAGGGGGTTTGGGCGCTGCCCCCTGTCACGCTGATCCCGGTGCTGGGAGGCATATTACCCTTTTACTATATAGGGTAGAGGCCTGGTGCACGGTTGGGTGCCGGCTGGTTTGCCCTGAAGGGTGTCCTGGATCAGGGTGGAGGTCCCCACTGGGGTGCCTGGCCAGTCTGGGTGAGGGGCTGAGGGCTGTTTTCAGGCTAGGGGTGACTGAAGCTCCCAACCGCTCCTTTTTTTCTTTTTTTTAATTTTTATTCTGGGCCAGCTTTACCTTGAGGCTTGGCTCCAGCTCTTAGGCCTCTGGCTGAAAGTAGGTTTCTGGCCTTTGCTTACAATGTTGGGATTCTGCTGGCTGAAGCCCAGTGGTATTTGTTACAATGTTTCTTAAACTGCCCGCTCAGAGGCCTCTAACAAATGATCCTCCGTCACTGAGGCAAGCAAGCCTCATGTTAGTTTCAAGCTGCCTGGCTGCCAGCCGCCATCTTGGCTGACAGTTAATTTGCATATCTCGCTAATTAGCCAATGAAAAGGGTAGCGGTCGTACGCCAATTACCACGTTTCTCTTTTATTAGTGTAGATATTGATTTCAGAGAGGAAGGAAGAGGGAGAGAGACAGAAACATCAATGATGAGAATAATGAGAGGGAATCATTGATCAGCTGCCTCCTGCACCCCCCCTCCTTGCCCACTGGGGGTTGAGCCCCCAACCTGGGCATGTGCCCTTGACCAGAATAGATCCCAGGACCCTTCAGTCCGCAGGCCACTGCTCTACCACTGAGCCAAACCATCTAGGGCTATAGTTCCCTTTTTTCTAGGTCATTTTCAGTCAATTTTGGTAGTTTCGTTTCGTCTTTACAGAAAACTCAGCTAAACTTTAAAAGTGACACAGTCCTGGCCACATTGGCTCAGTAGAGCATTGGCCTGCCGACCTAAGGGTCAAGGGTTCAACTCCCGGTCAAGGGCAAGGTTGCAGGTTCCCCAGTGTGCTTGCCCACATGTGTGTGTGTGTGGGGGCGGGGGGGGGGGGGGAGCAACCAAACGATGTGTCACTCTCCCATTGATGTTTCTCTCTCTCTCTTCCCACCTCCCCCCACTCCCCCCTTTCACTCTTGCCAGAAATCAATGGAAAAATTATCCTTGGATGAGAATTTAAAAATTTTTTTTAAAAAGTAACACAAATTTACTCATAATATTCTCTTAGGTTTTCTTCTGTTTTTGTAGTTATGGCTGCATTTTCTTTCCAGATATAGTTTGTGTCTTTTCCTTTCTCTTAAAAGTCAATTTTCTGGAGTTGAAACCTTAGCTCATTCATTTTTAGTATTTCTTGGGTTTTAATAAACAAATTAATGTCTATAAATGTACTTGAATATATATATCCCTTACAAGTCACTTTCCATTAGGGCTGATAACATATCTGTTCTCCTTCAGTTCTAAATATTTCATAACTTCCATTGTGATTTTCTTATTTATCCATGAGTTATTTGGGAGAGTAAGTTCTCAAACAGCCTTTTTGTAAAAAAATTATTTCAGAGAGGAAGGGAGAGGGAGAGAGAGAGTGAAACATCAGTGATGAGAGAGATTCAATTGGCTGCTTCCTGCACGCCCCCTACTGGGGATTGAACCCACAACCCAAGCACGTGCCCCTGACTGAAACCGAACCTTGGACCCTTCAGTCCGCAGGCAGACACTCTATCCATTGAGCCAAACTGGCCAGGGCCAGCCTTTTTTTAAAATTGAATTATACTTGACATACAATATTATGTTAGTTTCAGGTCAGTATTTTTATACACCATGATAAATCTAGCTATCAAGTGTAACAATAATATTGTTATTACAATATTATTGACTATATTCCCTACAGTGCATGTACAATAAATTCCTGTGACTTATTTATTTTAGAGCTGAAAGTTTGTACCTCTTAATCCCCTTCATCTGTTTTACCCATCCTCCCACCCTCCTCTCCTTTGGCAACCAACAGTTTGTTCTCTGAATCAGAGTCTGTTTCCATTTTGCTGTTTTGTTCTTTAGATTCCATAAATAAGTAAAATCATATGGTATTTGTCTTTCTCTGCCTGACTTATTTCACTTAGCATAATACCCTTTAGATCCACCCATACAAAATCTGTTTGCTACTCAAAAACAAAGGTCATTGCCCGACCAGTGTGGCTCAGTGGTTGAACATTGACCAAGAGGTCATGGTTCGAATCCTGGTCAGGGCACATGCTTGATTCCCGGTGTGGGGCATACAGTAGGCAGCCAATCAATGATTCTCTCTCATCATTGATGTTTCTCTCTCCCTCTCCCTTCCTCTCTGAAATTTATAATATATATATATGTAATAATTATATATATATATATATATATATATATATATATATATATATATGTAATTGATTCTGATTTACTTGGAGGGCAGAGAACCTGAAGAGTTGATATGTAAATCTCTCACATTGTTGAGGCTTCTTCATGATCTGGTCACAATGGGTTTTGCATATATTTCAGGTGAACTTGAAAACATATTTTTTTCACTGTTAATTTTGGAGCAAGTTTCTTTATATACTAGTAGGCCAGACTTCTTAATTTTATTGTTCGGATTTTCATCTCCCCCTTTTCCCTGCTTATTCTATCAGATTCTAATAGAGGTGAATTAAAGCTTTTCAGTCTTTTCAGGTAGTTCTGTCAGGTTTTGCCTTATGTATTTTGAGGTTCTTAGTTGCGTACAAGTTCATATTTGTCATCTCTTTTGAGTGGATACTTTCTCCATTTATTCTTTTTTTCTTTATTGTTTTATTTAAAATATGTTTTCATTGATTTTAGAGAGAGAGGAAAGGAGAGGGAAACAGAGATAGAAACCTCAATGAGAGATGAGAAACATCATCGATAAGCTGTCTCCTGCATGTTCCCTGCTGGGGACTGAGCCTGCAACCTGGGCATATGCCCTGAGCAGGAATCAAACCAGCAATCTCTTGGTGTATGGGTCAGTGCTCAACCACTGAGCAACACCAGCTGGTCTTTCTCCATTATTCTTTTTCCTTTTTATTCCTCTTCTACTTCCTGATGAATTAGTGTTCTGTATTTTTTCTCTTTACACTCATTTGGAACTGATGCTGTATATTTTTATTATTTTAGGGACTACCCTTATATTTTTAGCATACAATCTTAACTATACACTTTTCTAACAAATCCTGAAGGAATTTATTTTTGTCTCATTTCCTTGTGTGTGACAAGGATCTTCATGTGCTTTACCACAACCTATTGAGCACCCATCAGTCTATCTTATTGTTCTACAGTTTTAATTTTACTATTAAAAACACACAGAAACAGTTTGTCATTTGTTAATCACATCTATTTGGGGTATTAACTTATGTGGCTACAGTAGTGGGCCCAGATTAGCCTAGTGGGGGAATGGGATAACCTAGTTCATCCTCTCAGAGGCCCAGAATTTTAGCATCAGGGAGGCCAAAGGTGGAGATGCCAAGAAGTCATCTGCCGCGATCCCCACACCGAGTCCCATATTTCCTGCAGGTATCGGGCATTCAGGGAAGATGATGGGCATTATTCTGGGACCTACTGGAACCTTCTGGCTATCCGCCTGGCCTTTGTCATTGTGTTTGAGGTAGCTGGGGCACCACCAGACCCTCTGTTGGCTTCTTCTTGGCCTTAGCATGATTCCCCCACCCTCATGCTTTGCCTAATCTCACCATGTGGTTTGGGGGGTTGGTGTGTCCAAAGGAATAGAGCCCTGGTCTTACCGCTCTGTCACTGTGGTCGAATCACAGTTCCTCTCTGCATCAGTTCTCCATCTGGAGAAGGGAGCAATCCCTGCTTAGCCTGTCACAGGGATGTGCGGACATCAGGATGCTCTGGGCACCGTGTAGTGTCCCAGGGAAGCTACATGGGGCCACGGAAGCAGGGGGTGGTCTCTGGGGCCATGACACTGCTGCTTTTCAGTTCACCCACACCTGGGAAGCAGGTGTCCACACCTGGGCCCATGAAGGCCACTCTGGGCACTTGTTTTACCATTGGGTAGGGTGCCCTCTCCCATGGCTGGTCCTGTCCCCTCTCCCAGCATGTGGTGTTCTCCATCGGCCGGATCCTCGACCTCCTGGTACCTGACATCCCTGAGTCTGTGCAGATCAAGGTGAAGCGGGAATACTACCTGGCCAAGCAGGCGCTGGCTGAGAACGAGGTGAGCCCCCACCCACAGCCCTCGTGCGCCCACTGTGGAGTGGCCCCAACCAGGTACTTGCTGCCAAGCAGGCCAGAGTGCATTTAATCACACTCTCCTCGGCCACCCTCCTGGACACAGGCTCTCTTGGGGACGAATGGAGCCAAGGACGATCAGCCCTCAGCCTCAGAGGAGAGTCTGGGCCCACAGCCTAGACGACCAGAAGCCAGCCGGGCCTCGCCAACCCCTTCCCTCTAAGGTCGCAGGGATCATGTTGGGGGCTGAGGGGCCTGGAGTCAGACCCACCTGGAGTGCAGAGCCCTCACGCCCTGGAGATGAGAGGTCTCCTCCTCTCCTTCCCCTCCTCAGCTGCCTTGGGCCCCTGCTCCTGCCCCCTGCCTCCCAGGTCCTGGTTGCAGCCCCCACTGGCCACCCCTTTGGAGTACCCAAAGCCAGGCGACTATAGCAGGGGAACCTGGTGGGCTGGGGCATGCCTCCACCATCTCCCTCCCAGCCCCATGAGCCAGTATCCTCTCCTCACACTCCCCCAGGGGCAGAATGGCTCCACCCTGAGACTTGTTCCTGTCACCCCCACCCGCCTCTGGGCACACTGCCTACTCCCCTACATCTTTACTCAGAGCTGTGGCCCTTCCAGGCCTCAACCCTCCACTTCGTGCCATCCTGGGTCCCTGCACCCACGGCCCCCCTGCCTCTCCCTGCTCACTTCCTACTTGCCCATCAGCCCTCACATGACTCATCTGCCAATCCAGCCAGTGGACTCTGGGTCCTGTGTCCTCTCTGGTGTTTTGATCCTGCTGTCCTTGGAATGATGGAATGACCCCTCTCTAGGCCCACCTGGTTACACAGAGTCCTGCCTGCCCCCCAGCACTCTATGTTCCAGGTCACAACCTGGAGTCAGCTCAACCCCTCAGCCACTTTTTCCGCTCCCCATTCCTAGCCAAGGGCTCCTGATTCTGTCACCATTTCTTGAACCTGGTGCCCCCTTTCACTCCCAGCCACTATGAGTGGCCTCTCAGGCTAAAAAGCTGTACTGCCCAGCTCCCTCCCAGATTACAGCCTGAGGCTGAGGAAGGTTTGGAAGAAGACTCAATTTTATTCCCTGACCTGTGAAACACTAGAGTTTCCTGTATGTTTACACGTGATCATCTCCAAAGTTGGGAGCACCTTAGTACATCCAGTTGGACCTTGTCCACTGACCAGCTTGTGAACCCCCTTCCACATCCTCCTTCCGTTAACTCAGTTAACCGCTGTGCCCATGCGTGACTCCACCACGGGGTGCCTGCCCTTGGCTGTGCACTCCCTGCTGGGTGTGTGGGTTTTCTCCACCTGTACCTTGTAATTCATGCTGGAATAAACCTCCCAAAGTACTATGCGCACCACTGGCTTCCTCGGGGCACACTCCTAGACGCGCTGTCAAACTTCCTCCAGAAGGGCCCATCGATACCTCTCTGCACAGCATTCTTGCCAATGTGGTGCCATTAAAAACCCACCACTCTGGTCTCAGGCAGCACTGTGTGCACTGCAGGCAGCGTTTCCGAATGAGGTGAGCAAAGGTGCCATTGGCACTGCTTTTGGGCATCACTCATTCATCCACTTTGAGAAAAGGGACCGTCCTTGGAGCAGCAGAGCCGCCCAGTGGTGAGGCCAAATGGTTCCATTATGCAGTGTCCTCACAACATCCACAAGTACGTCCTTCCAGTGGTTGCGTTATTGCTTTCTCAAACTCTGTTATTTTAGAGTAAATCTATTGAACATAAGAAAATACTTGAGCCTTAACTCAGGTTTTCTTGAAGCGAACACACACATTGTAGTCAGCATGTCAATCTAGACAGCCTATCATCGGCCTAGTGCCTGGCATGGACCCTCCCACCTAACCCCTTCCCACCCAGAGTGGCCACCACCTTGGACTCTAATGCAGTGGAACCCAGAGTCTGGCCCCGACCTTCAGGGATGGTGCATCACGGGCCCATCCTGCTGCCATGTGCACTCCCTGTAGCTCTGACCCTTGACGCCTCAGTCCTCCCTCATATGACAGGTGGTTCCTCTGTATCTGCCTGGAGGCTGGGAGCCAGTCCTGGGGACACCTCAGTTTGCTGATAGAGATCATTCAGGCAGAATCCTGAGCTGAGTGAAGTAGCAAGTTACTGCTTCACAGCAGGTGAAGCAAGGTCAGGAGCCCAGGGACAGGCAGCCAAACAGCTGTGACCACTGCTAGCCTCCCACCATGGCCCCTGCAGGGCAGTCAGTTAATGTGGTGCTGAGAACTATAGATGCCAGCTGGGAGAATCGCACCAAAGATGAGAACCGTTTATGAATGTCTGTGACCACTCGAGTGCCATGGACTGAGAACACATGTGGTGTGATAAAACGAGCCTCGGCACACTGCATCTGGTTTTGGGTTTTATTTTAGAATTTATAAAATTCCAGTGTCATCCATATTCATGAGCCTTTACACATGTTTGCATATAATCTCCAAACTCCAAAGTTAAGGCCAAGGGATGGATTTTAACTGTGGACACATATAATATGGAAGACAGTCAACAAGAGGAAATGGACACTCATGCCCCACCCCTGCCCAGGGCTCCTGCAGCAGCACCAGAGGCAGCAGGAGAGCCCCAGGCACAGTCACCTCATGAGCCTGACTAACAGCCACACAGTGAGAACCCGCACAGTGTAGGAGAGGGGGCTGCACCTACATTTAGGAATAAGTGCAGATGTGCAAACACCTGTTGGGGCAATTAAAAATCCACCTTTGCGGGGAAGGGGTTAAATATCACAGAAACATGAGGTTCGGGCAGATGCCAGAGGGCAGGGAGGGGTCGGAGGGGAGGGCAGTACACTGGCCAATAGGAAAGGCTCCAAAACTCATGCAGATAAAAGGAACTCCAGGGACCAGGGAGGTAGGGGATGGTCCTGGAGAAAGGCAAAACAGCAACTTCCCTTCTCACTTCCTTTTTCAATTGACTCCACCTAATTTGGGGTCACCCAACCTACTCAGCTGGAGCAAATGTTTTCCTACCCCAATTCATCACTTCTACATATGGGCACATTTGAGGCTGCTTGAGCTAATGGGAACTCAGAGACGATTGATACCAGACTTGTGTTCAGCAATTCTGGTCTATTCAGAAATTTCAGTCTAAAGACTGCCAAGCTGAGCAATAACCGAATAGAAAACTTCATGGAGGGGGTGGTCAGGGAAGAAGTGACCTTCCCCAGGGAAGGGCTGGGCAAGGGGTACTAGTTGGCTTCTCTAGGAACTCCATTATTTGGATGGAAAACTTGAGAGGGGCTCAGTCACCTCTACATGGGTAGAGGTGGGGATGGGAGACCAGACAACCTGGAAACCAAGGGCCTGTGGCTCTCACAACACTGCCTTGGCCACCTTTCCTCTCCAGAGCACATCACCATGCTGGCTGGGGCAGGGCACCCTGCCCCACCACCCTGAGAAAAGCAGACTCCCTTAGCAGGACCTGGTCCTCCAGCCCAGGTTGAGTGACAGCCTCTCTCTACCCCAGGACCAGGAAGCTGCCTCTGAAGGCCAGCTCCCAGGGTCAGCACACGGCATCCATGTGTCTGAGGGCAGCCTGTAGGATGGTGTACGCACTCTCCACTCTGGACTTTCCCACTGGCCACTTGCAAGTGAGGGTGCGACCCAGAGCTGTGACAGTCAGTGGACTCAGGCACTCGTGACCAGAGCCGTTGCAATCAGGAGGCTGAGCACCTGGGGCGGCACCACCCTCACCATGAGATCACCACCACACTGGCTCTGAGGTAGAAAGGAGACTGGACTCGGCATTTGGGGAGGGGCAGGAAAGCTGAAGTCGATGTGACAGGTCAGCCGGGAGGGGAAGTGAGTCTCCTCTGTGGGCCACCTCTCTCCCCATCCCTGTGGGTCTAAGCTCACACCAAACCCAGGTGGTAGATGCAGCCTCACTTACAGGTCTTGCCCACCAGATGCGGGGCCTCCGGTGCCTGTGGTGCAGGGGCACACACTTGGAACCTGGTCCCTTCTCTGGGCCCAGGTGCTCCAGTGTGCACAATGGGCCTTCCTCCCACCCTGTGGACTGGGATGTGCGGGCTTTGGCAGTGGGAAGGAGGCGGACTGCAGTCTACAGAGGGCTGGACTACAGGCAGAGGGAGAGAGAGAGCTGGGAAAGGAAGAGGGCAAACGTTTGGCTTTTCTAAAGTCAAGGAAATTTATTTCCTGAGGTCACGACACAGGAAGTGGGCTCAGCCCCAGCTGTGCAGCACTCTTAGTGGGGCCAGGGCCTTATTGACATGCCGGTGGACCGGGAAGCTTGTCGTGAAATGTCCAATTGCCTCTATTAGTGTTTGAACCGTGGAAAGCCGGCCCACAGCCGGTGTCAAGGGCAGATCCTGAGCACGTGCCGGGCGCTGGCCAGGCCTGACGACCAGCTGCACACAGCGCCAGGCGCCCGGCTTCACTGTGAGACCTCGGGGAGGGGGGAGCGTCAAGAATTTATGGAGGGTCCAGCTGCTGAGTCAGATTGAAACAAACCATTGCGTGGTGGGGTTTGGGTCAGCAGGCTGGAGAGGTTTGTTTTCTGATCATTATCGTTTGGGGCCCCAAGGGAGGGTCTTGGGGGCCACCTGAGCCCCAAAGCTGGGAAATTCTTCAGAGCTGCTCATATCTGGAGCCTGTGGGGACAGAGAGGGCACAGCTTTACTAAGCAAGTTTCACTCAGGCAGCTCCAAAATGGACCCACCCTCTGAACCTGGGCCCACCCACTGGCAGGTAAGTGTGGCAGGCATCCCCACTTCCCGGGCACAGGGAGGGCACCCAGGATGAGCACTGTCTGACCTTCTCACTGCTGTTGGCGGTCCAGGGAGCGTCCCGAACCACAAAGCCCTTGGAAGGTGCCTTGGACTCCTCGTGGGCTGGGGGCTTCATGTACACCTGCAGGACCTCGCTGTCCACCACGTCGGCCAGCTGTGGGCACAGGTGGGATCAGCTGGCAGTAGTGATTCCCCGTGAGCATCCACCACTGTGCTCACCCTGCTCTGAGGCGCTGGGGCTCGCCTGCACCTGGCAGGCATCTGAAAACACCTGCATGTGGCCTCATGCGACCCCAGAACTCACATATTCTTCCTCCAAGTTGAGGATGTGGTCGATGGCCTCCTCCACGTTCTCTGGGAGCCCCGTCACGGTGACGCAGTTGGGGTCCGGGGCCCCGCTCTGCGGGAAGCGAATGTCCACCTGGAAGGAGCACACATAGCAGCTGAGGTGGCTCCAAGTGCCCGTTAGAGGATTCTGGACTAAACAGTGGCCATTAGGTATGGCTGGAACAGTCCATTTCTAGTGTTTTCCCTTTGGGTTCATGAAACCTAAGAACCTGGTTCATGGTCCCTCACCTTCACGACATGTGAGGCCAGTGCACTGCAGAAGCAGCTGGTGTAGAGGCCCCAACTCCAAGATGTGTATACCTATGGCTGGGGTGGCAGGCAGCCAAACCTTTGGAGCTAGCACAGGGCACTGACCAACGGCATCAACTATACAGCTGTAACCCCACTTGACCTCACCGCCTTAGCGATGAGCGCCTGAGCCTTGGATGTCCGCCCTTTCAGACCTCTGCTGGCCCGTGAGTGTGCTCAGCAGTCTCGGCAGGATAACTGAGGCCCTGGTGTCCCTCACCAGCCCATGGAAGAAAGCTCTGACAGCAGGGAGTATGCCGATCTCACCCATGGGGCTTCCAGGACTAACATACACCCTTCACGGTGGGGCTGAAGACACACCTTGAATTCATCCATGATTTTGCGAATGGCTTTGCCACGGGCACCAATGATGCGGGCGTGGACACGGTGGTCTAATGGGACGTCCTCAGAAACCATCTGTTCAAGTTCACCCACAATTTTCAGTATGGCATCCCGGGCAGCTTCTGTGTTCTTTTCGTACCCTGTGATGGTGATTTGGTCCTGCGGCTGAGAAAGGAGAATCCCATCAGAAGAGGACATGTCCCAGGATTCCTGGCTGGGAGGGCACACAGGGACTGGAGAGCGTTAGCTGGATTGAAGGAGGTAGGCTTCAGTTCAAGGGGAAAGACCGATCCACTCAGAAGAGAAAGAAGGTGAAAAGAAACAATATCCATTTATTTAGCTCCTGCCCCTCCCAGTAACACACAGGAAAAGAAAGAGCACCTGCCCACAAAGACACGGCAGGACACTAGCAGGTGAGGGGTCTGGGGAGGTCCCCCTGGGCCCTTCATCTGGAGGGGTCTCAGTGAAGACGACCGACCTGACCTGGAAGAAGGTGCCAGTCGGTGTAGCCAGTACTCCATACCGCTGATCATACAAATGTCTGGATGAGCACACCAGATTGGTAAAGAGTGAGCAGAGCAAACGGGTAATT